AATGGATAACGAAGGTGTATGACTGGTCCAAACACGATAATTATGATATGCGTGTCGCGTAAACTGTCACCACATATCACACTCATGATGCGCTCGCGGCCGTCTCGCTATCTTCGCATATACCAAGTTCGGTATCAAGTTACAGGAATAGACGACGAAGTTAAATGACATATCCAAACATGATAATTAATATATGCGTGTTATGTAAAACATGGCTACATGCTACGCTCATAGTGCGCTCGCGGCCGTTTTGCTAGTTTCACATATACCAAATATGGTATTATGTGATGTGAATAGACGACGAACAAAAATGCCAGATGCAAACATAATAATCATGGCATAGAAGTCATGTCCGGCAGAATTTTTATTCCTACCACTGCTGGTGCTGGTATTCCAAACGTTAGTGGTGCCGTAGATACACGACTACCAACAACATACTTACATCTTATCTAAATACGTGAGTGCGCTTAACATTTTTAATTGTATTTACTCTGCACTACGTTCGTCCGCCTTGTAACGTTGAGCTGATATTTATGTGACGTATCAACCTTTCTCATTCGTGCTTGGCATATCGTCGATTCCCACTGTACGTGGAATTTTTTTCAGATACTGTGTGTGTGTGTGTGTGTGTGTGTGTGTGTGTGTGCGTGCGTGCGTGCGTGTGTGTGTGTGTGTGTGTGCGTGTGTGCGTGTGTGCGTGTGCGTGTGTGTGTGTGTGTGTGTGTGTGTGTGTGTGTGTGTGTGTGTGTGTGTGTGTGTGTGTGTGTGTGTGTGTGTGTGTGTGTGTGTGTGTGTGTGTGTGTGTGTGTGTGTGTGTCGGTGAACTCGCCAAGTGCTGAACTGATTGGATGGAAACGTCGTCCCTGTTTCGTCCCTGTGTATGAGGAGCATTTCTCTTTTGATTTATTTTTCTGTAGAAATGTAAATAAACCTGCCATACGCATCGTCATTGCCTCTTCTGTTCGCTTCCCTCAAAGTGCAGCTCTACTAGAAGACAGGATTTGGGAGCGCCTGCTTGGACGCGAGGAGACCGGGTACTCGTGAAAGCGTCAGTCTCAACTTGCTTGGCAGTGCTGGTATCCTGCTGGCGTCCACACTGCAACAATGTTAAAGAACCCAATGTGGTCAAAATTTTCTGAGCCCTCCACTACGGCATTTCTCATTATATTGAAGTTTTTAAATGCTAGACAACAGCAATTATTTTTATAGTATGGATAAAAAACCAACTAATTTTAGAGCAATATCTTCTCTCTCCGTAAAAATTCATGAAGCACCTGATTCCGTGATTCTGACTTTCAAACTCGGCCACGGTAAACTCAGCGCCTCTGAGCTAGCGCTAAGCAGTGTCGAAGGTGAATGACTATTGAATACTATCTTAGAGAGTCTCTGGGTATCTTGTATCTGTATCACGATACGTCCCACAAGACGAGTATCTGCATCTGTATTTCCTACACCTTCAATAATTTATCATGTATCCTAAGATACAACATACTGCTACCGCAACTCTGCTGTACAAAGCAATATTTATGGACTAAACTCCGCTTCTCAAGCTGGTACTGGGGCCGCTCAACCGCTTGAATAAAACTAAGGGTCTTGACGTACTTTTACCGTTGCTGCAGAATCATTTATGGTTGACTCTGTCAAAAAGATAAAATTGTATGTCAGGACAGACGATGAGGTGTGCACGTTTTTTTTTTTTTTTTGTGGAGAAGAGCCACTTTAGCGCTAACACTGCCTCGACAGAAACATGGGTGTGATCGTAGACACTCGCGCGTTTAGCCACGTGTCTTCTGTGCTCCCAATTCTTTTCGGTTTAAAGTTGTGTCAATGCCATCACACACTTGGCTCGTGCTGCTTACCACAATATGGGCGGGGGCGATGACGCAAATTTGGATTCCGCTCTCGAAATTTTTCTTGAGTTTACTGTTATGTCAAGACGATTAGGAAAACTTACTATTAAGTGGACACCAGTTGATAATACAGTACCAAACATTTTCCTTAAATTGTAGCAAACTGGTGAAATAAAGGTTTCCTCACATAAATTCAAATAAGTAACAAAGAGCTATCTCAGAGACGGGTACTCAAAAAACAATGTCGTACGAAATAGTCCTTTTTTTTTCAGTAAGTCCTCAACAACCATTTCAGGCATCTTTTCTTAGGGGCTGAATTTCGATTTCTCTTACCTTAAAAGTGTAGCAAGGCTCAATAAGCGCCACGTCACTGTTTGTACCTTTAGTGCGCATGCCTGGCGGTGGCACTAGTTGTGTATATATACTCGTTCTTGTTCCGGCAATAAAGTTGTTCATTGCCTGAAGCCGACTCGCACACATGGTGGCAGCGGATTCCCGTCACTATGTCGGGTCTGTCAACCCTGCTTCCCCCACCCAAGCCACTGGACCCGTCGACAGACGCATGGCTTGCATGGAAGACATGGAAAAGTGAGTTCACTTTGTTCTCCACCGCTACCCAGTTGAGAAAGCAGCCTGAAAAAGTACAAGCAGCAACGTTACTCGTAACAGTCGGTGAAGAAGGTAGGAAGGCTTACAACACCTTGAAATTCAAATATGATGCAGACAAAAACAACGTCGAGACGTTGCTTGAAAAGTTTGAGGAATTCTACAAGCCAGTGACTAACCTGACGTTTAATGAATTCCGCTTCGGATCAAGGAACCAAAAGCCAGGGGAGTGTTTCAATGACTGGCTAACCGATCTCCGGCTTTTAGCGAAGAACTGCGAGTTCGGGGACCTAGAAGACCGTTTGCTTCGCAGCCGGATTATTCTGGGATTGAGAGATAAACGCTTGCAAGAAAAGCTTATCGCCGAGAATCCGTCGTACAGCAGGACCGTCGAAATGTGTCGCGCCCAAGAAATTGGGAAGGAGCAGTTTAAAGAAATTAATGAAGGCACAGAAGCAGCAAGCGCCGCAGTTATTCAGGCCGTCAGCACCCAAAAGCATCACTGTAGTCGGTGTGGTTATAGCGCACACGGTAACGCAAGGTGCCCGGCTACAGAAAAAACCTGCAAAACTGCGGGGGGCGTAATCATTTCGTTCAAGCATGTAGATCGTCGGTGCGGCGACAAAACAGCGGCGTGAAAAAAGAGCTGCACGACCTACAAATGGATGAAGAAAATTTTTTCTTGGAAGCTTTGACCGTATGCGCAGTCGCAGCGGGAGATAACTGGACTGCAGCAGTTGACATCGAAGGCTGCCAATTCACGTGCAAGCTAGACACGGGTGCTAACTGCTGCGTAATTTGAAGCAAAGACGCAAAAAAGCTTAGCAATGGGCCCCTGCAAACCTGCCACGCGACCCTGACCGCCTTCTTCGGCCATAAGACCCCAGCGACAGGAAAAATTCGGCTGCGCCTACGTGCTAACAGCAAAGAGCACGAAGAAACTTTTTTTGTGGTCGAACAAAATGTGCCTGTGACTCTAAGTGGATTAGTGGCGGAACGCCTAGGATTTATTTGCCGCGTGCAAAATGTTCACGTCCAACAGTTGTACCCAGCGGCTCAACCTTTCGCAGAAGTCTTCAGTGGACTGGGACAGCTGAAAGGCTTCGAGTACGCAATGAAGTTAAAGCCCGGAGCCATTGGAATCGTCGTGCCAGCCAGGCGAGTTCCCGTGGCCCTTCAGGAAAGAGTCAAGGAAGAGCTCAAGCGTATGGAAGAACAAGGCGTGATAACTAAGGTAAGGGGTCCAACGGAATGGTCAAGTCACATGGTCACCGTCGTTAAGAAAGATGAAGTACGCATCTGCCTAGATCCCATCGAGCTCAACAAAGCACTTTTGCGGGAGAACTATCCTATGCCTACACTGGAAGACGTTGTGCCAAAGCTTGCTGGAGCCAAATTTTTTTCGACATTAGACGCAGCTTCAGGGTTTTGGCAGATAAAGCTGAATGACTATAGCTCCAAACTTTGCACAATGAGTACACCGTACGGACGCTACCGCTTTCTCCGCATGCCCTTCGGTATTGCCTCAGCACCAGAAATATTCCAAGCAGCGATGCATCGTGTCCTAGAAGGTCTCGCAAATGTAGCGGTAGTAATGGATGACATTCTAGTCTGGGGCAAAACAAAGCAAGCACATGACTACAATTTGCAGCTGCTTCTAGCACGCTGCCGCGAACAGAATCTTCGACTAAACCTAAAGAAGTGTTTCTTGTTGCATACAGAGGTTCGCTACCTTGGGCACGTGCTCACTTTCGAAGGCTTGCGTGTGGACCCACAACGTGTACAGGACATTTTGGAAATGCCGACACCAAAGCACTGTAAGGAGCTACAAGTCTTTTTGGGCACAATGAACTTTTTACAGCGTTTTATTCCCAACATGTCTGAGGTCACAGCACCACTTCGTACTTTGCTGCGGAAAGACACTGCATGGGTCTGGACGGAGGTGCAGCAAGAAAGTTTTCTTAGACTGCGTGAGGCTCTGATACAAGCGCCAGTACTCCGGTATTTTGATTCCAGTAAACCGGTGACCTTATCGGTGGATGCGAGCCAGCTGGGGGTGGGCGCTGTCCTGATGCAGGATGCGCAGCCCGTCGCATTTTCGTCACGGACACTTACGGAAGCGCAGACAAGATACGCACAGATAGAGAAGGAAACACTTGCTATTGTACATGGGTGCACTAAATTTTATGACTACATATTCGGACAGCATGCAGTTACTGTGGAAAATGACCACCGTCCCTTAGTAGCGATATTCAGTAAGCCGTTGTATCAGTGCCCACTACGGTTACAACGCATGCGCCTTACTCTACAACGTTACCCCATCCATGTGACTTACAAACCGGGCAAAGAACTATTCCTAGCTGATGCTTTGTCAAGGTTTCCGAGCAAAGCATGCATGCCAGAAGACGAGCAGTTTCAGGTCAATGTTCTTCAATGTATTTCAGCCTCTGCACGCGCGCTGCAAGACTTGCTTCAAGCCACCAATGAGGACTCAACCCTGGGCAAGTTCCGCGAATACGCAAGTACAGCATGGCCACTTCACAAGCAAGACGTCCCCGAGCCACTTCGGACGTACTGGGAGTACCGGGACGAGATACACGAACAGGACGGCCTCGTATTCCGGAGTAACAAGGTAATCGTGCCACAATCGAAGACATCAGAAATGATGAGTACTCTTCACTCGGCGCATGTGGGAGTCGAAAAAATGAAGGCTAGGGCAAGGAACGTGATGTTTTGGCCGAATATGGCGGGCAACATCGAGCAGTTCTGCAAAGCTTGCAAAGTATGTCAAAAGCATAAACCTCAGAACCCTAAGATGCCACTTTTGAGTCACGAGGTACCCTCGCTACCATGGCAAGTTGTCGGCATAGATTTGTTCTGTTTCGAAGGCCGAGAGTTCGCCGTCATTGTCGACTTCTACTCGTTCTTCTTTGAACTACGAGAGTTTCGGACGACAACGGCGAGCTCGCTTAAAATATGGTGTTCAGAAATTTTTTCCGTCCATGGCTTGCCACTAAAGTTGTGCAGTGATAATGGCCCGCCTTTTAGCAGTCATGAGTTCAAGGAGTTTCTGGACACTTTGGGCATTGCTCGCGTAACCTCAAGCCCCTACCACCCGCGGTCAAACGGCATGACGGAAAGAGCGGTCCGGGAGGCAAAAAAGCTTTTAAAAACGTGGTCATTGAAAATGCCAGTGTTTCAAATGGCTTTGCTTGAGTGGCGTAATACTCCACGTGATGATTTGCTCCAGTCCCCTGTGCAGAGGCTGATGGGACGCCAGACTAGAACTCTGCTACCGGTGCCTACCAGCCATTTGGAACCGAGGACCATCCCACCGAAAGTGGTGCAGGGCCGCCTTCAAGAAATACGGCAACGACAGAGGACCTACTACAACCGCGGTAGCAGACCACTACCGCCTGTGAAGCCAGCCCAGCAGGTCACCGTATATGATACAAACCAGCGGACCTGGGCGCCTGCAGTCTTCATCAGACCGTTCGGGGAAACCCGCTCGACCATCGTTAAAACAGAAGACGGCCGGGAACTTCGGCGCACAAGAGAGCATCTCCGCTTGCTAGAACCGCAACCAGAATCAAACCAGCCAGAAGTGAGCCTTGTCCCTCCAAACGGGGCGTCCTCAACGGCCCCTACAGAACTACGGCTCGCACAAGGCAACGATGCGAGCCCTGTCGGTACCCTCTACCGGAGAGGCGCTAACCAGGCGTTAACTGCCCCGTAAAAAGGGAAGATGTAGCAAGGCTCAATAAGCGCCGCGTCACTGTTTGTACCTTCAGTGCGCATGCCTGGCGGCGGCACTAGTTGTGTATATATACTCGTTCTTGTTCCGGCAATAAAGTTGTTCATTGCCTGAAGCCGACTCGCACACAAAAAGGAAACTTTATACTTCGTGCTTAATTGTCATGGCTATTTTGGGTGCCGCCTATAGTGTTTTTACACGTTTTGACGGTAAATGTTTGATAAAGAACGGCTTTTTTTGTATCTGTTTTCCTATTGCAGGCTTCCTTATATTTTATTTACTATTACTAATCTCGAGGTAATCGGATCTCTAGGCCACCATAGCGTTAATAGCGGCAGTATTTTAACAATATGTATATCTATACTGCCATGTTTTACTGCTCAAATGTTTTTATTTTGATGTGGAGGGATTCAAATCACAAAACGCTGGTAGAACAGCTCGGCGAAGGCGCACCGGAACGTTTTAGTCTACGAGATTAAATTAGACTGTTCTATCAAATTTCTTTATGTTTATTTGAACATACTGCAGGCTTTTCACGGCCCATGCAGGTGTTGAGACAAGAAAATACATACTAAGCATCGAAAGAAAATACTTAACAGAATAACGAGAAAGAAGATACAATGTCAAACAGCTCACAAATCAAATTGGACACACTGTATTATGTTCATAAACGGTTGAATGGTGTTACAGCACAAAATATTGTTATCTAGTCTATTCCAATGTTGGATAGTTGACGTAAAAAGGGAATGTGTGAGCGTTAATACGACTGAAAGGTTGGTGAATAGTTTTGCAATGATTCAGTCGCGATGAGTGTTTAGGCGGATCCTGCAGGTAGTGAGATCGCGATATGTGGACTGACCATGATATAATTGGTAAAGAAATTTTAGTCGCGAGATAATTCTGCGTTGCGAGAGAGCTTTTAAGTTTGTCCTTGTGAGCAAGCCTGCAGAACTCGATTGCCTCGGAAAGTCTGAATATACAAACATGACTGCCACTTTTTGTATTTTTTTTTCTATTTTAGTAATGAGGGGATTTTGATGTGGACTCCAGATGAGTTCGGCGTACTCTAAACATGGTATAGTTAGTGTTTTGTATGCATCGAGTTTAAGGTGTGGCGGTGCAGTACACGATTTTCTCCTCGGGAAGCATAGCTTCCTGTCCGCTTTACGACATATGGGTAAAATATTTGATTCGCAGTTGAGGTTCGATGAGAAATTAACACCTAAGTATTTTACTTGGTCGCTTTTGTCGATAGTTGTGTTTCCTATAGTATATGTAAAAATAAGGGGGTTTATCTTATTTGTGAATTAAATGAAGTGAGTTTTGGTTGTGTTTATTTCATGCTCCCAGTATTGCACCAGGAATAGGTCATTTGCAATGAATTGCTCAGTTTAACTTGATCGCCTGAGTTGTGTACGACTGTGTACACGGCACAGTCGTCTTCGAATAGTCGCACTTGAACAGGAATATAAACAGAGTATTGAATGTCGTTTATAGCCGAATCGCGGCCGTGGTGGATGCATTTAGACGGAGGCGAAATGCTCGAGACACGTGCACTTAGAATTAGCGGTGCGTTAAAAACACCGAATGGTTCAAATTTCTAGAGCATCACACCTCTGCGTAGTTGTAAGTCACTCACGATTCGTGAGGTAATCACCATGCCAGCGTAAGCGTATCAGCCAATCACCGCAGACACGAACATGGACGGTGTGAACAACCCTATTAAAAAACAGCGTTTCCAGTGTTTTCCAGTGTGTTTCAGTGCACTGGGTGACACTGGAAACGCTGTACAGCGTGTCCCAGTGTACTACAGCGCACTGCAAGGCACTGCGACACATTGTACAGCGCGGCCAGTGACGCCCAGTGCGCTGAAACGCACTGGGCCATACTGTATAGTGTCGCCCAGTGTCTTGAAACGCGCTTGGAGGCACTGGTTACGCTGTACAGTCTCTACCGCACGTTAGCGGTAGCAGCACATTGGAAGAAACTAGGCGCGATCGGCGCACTTCCTGTAAGACTTTCTTTGGAATCGCGAGATATCAAGCGTAAAATTTACCGAATATAGTGGTATTCTCATCTATGTGCTTCACATATATAGCTTCAGTTTTAGTAAGCAATGGACGCTAGTACGCTTAAGAATTAATATTTCGAGCGCGTGGGTGAGGGTCAGGGGCGCCGCCAGGATTTCGCTGGGGAGACCAACGACAACGACAATTGTGTTCCTGCAAGGGGGCAAGGAGGCACAGAACTTATGCGTCGCGCTTTACCTACGCTTGCTCTTGGGGGTGGGGCAAAGGGGGGCATGCGAGAATTTCGTGAAAAGAGGCTCCAGCCCTTCTATAGATGCCCCCCTCTCTGGCACGGGTGCGCTTTCCTTGACATTTGATCGGGTTCCGTCAATGTATTTCATAAACGGCATCAATAGATCTGATAATTCGCAACACACTATTTGATTGATTGATTTGCGGGCTTTACCGTCCCAGAACCATGATATGATTATGAGAGACGCCGTAGTGGAGGGCTCCGGAAATTTCGACCACCTGGGGTTCTTTAACGTGCACCCAAATCTGAGCACACGGGTCTACAATATTTCCGCCTCCATCGGAAATGCAGCCGTCGCAGCCAGGATTTGATCCCGCGACCTGCGGGTCAGCAGACGAGTTTCTTAGCCACTAGACAACCGCGGCGGGGCAACGCAACACAGTATGACAGTAGTATCAGTCTGATAATCAAGACCAACCTACTCTAGCAGTGAGTCGTGGCGCTAGTACCGTAGAAAGACGCACGTCCCCGGCAGCAGTCATTTGCTGAAATGCCCGATCTCGGTGTTTTTAGCTACTGACTTGTGTAGTCGATGGTGAAAATATGACCACTCGTGGGCCAGTTATGATCTAAACTACAGTGTAACGGTTATTAGACAGACTCTTTGTAACTGATTATCTACGACCTTCACAGCAACTATGGCACAAGAAGTACGGCCCGAAGCTTAATGGTCGTTTCGGCTAGAGTGAACTGCTTCGGCTGTCGTACGCAGAATGTAAACAAGGACAGAAAATACTTCCAAACTATCGAGGGACGAAACCTACATTGTTCAGTGAGCTGCTCACACGAACGTTATTTTCTACGTAAGAATGACTAACCGCATAGCGAGTCACTACGATTGCCGTTATACATCTGCAGCTACGCTAACAAGCTTTGCGGTAAAACGTGCCAGATGGATGTGATCTAGGGCAACCCGCAAAAAATAAGCTAACAATCACCTGCTAGTTTGCCGCGAGCAAGAGGAGACGAAATACTGCGTATGTAAAGAATAAAATCAGAATATTCTATACCTGAATTACTTCTAAGATGAAGAAAAATACACTCATGCTCGTCTCTCAGGTGTGGTGTAGTGGGTAGCGTGTCAAGCTTAGGATGTGTGATGTGTAGTGGTAGAGGGTACGACTCCGGCTCAATCAGTCATTTTCTGCGTGCGTGTTTCAGCCGTAATTACGATGTGCGCATGACCGAAATTTTTATAAACAATTCAAAAGCCAAACTTTGGCCGATAATCGGAGTCCCAGTGTGCAGCGCCAGCGTGCCTCGTGAAGCGTCACAATGTCCCAGTGTCAGCGCCACACTGGTCCAGTAATGCGATATGGCACTAGGCCAGTGCCACTGGTTTTCGCGATAGGGAAGTAGTTCCATCTGGCAGCGTTATGCGCAACCAGTCAAGCAAATACGAAACTTTGTTCTGCTTCATCTGCGAGGAATGGCGACTGATGCTTATTGACCTGTAAATGCGTCCGAGTTGTAGCTGTCATTGTTTCACAGCTCCGAGGAGCTTGTGCATGAGGCACGATTAGTCACAGACATGATGCGGCGTTTTTGGCGTGGTCAGTTATGCGCTGAGTGTTTGCTCTTCGCAGCTTTCGCAGTTTTTGTATTGCGCGCTGGCAAAGCCGGCATGCCTTGCAGTATTTCCGGTTCTGGCAAAGTAAGACATACGTAAAAAGTGTACTCGGTAGGGTTTCGGTTTCTGTATTGCGGGTTTTTCCTTATTAAAGATTATTTTCAAACTTGTTCAGAGTTTCAACTACCCGGCGCGTGAAAAGGGTGCTTCAGGAACATAAAAGAACGATTATCCTGACATGGAAAAAAATCGCCAGAGCTGGCCTTTAAAGCTAAAGCATTTAATCTGTCATGCTCGCAGTATTCATCCGGCCGACCACCAGTCCGAGCCCTGAAATGTTTCCAGCTGTGGTATCATTCTCTCACGCGGCAGAATAAACTAGCATCATAAGCGCTGGAACTTGGTAGAAAATTAGCTTCGTTGTGATGAATGCCGTCTTCACGATGCGCAAAGCACGATACTACGAATACATGCAAGATGGAGGCTGATTAGCCTCGCATGCGATTCGCGGTAAAAATTTAAGAAGAAAACACGCACACACACTGTTTGTGTGCCATTTCACTCGGAGAGTGATGAACGAAAACAAGGCACAGTCCGCTGAATGGCCAAGGGCTCTCGCCAAACATACTTGGTAATTTAAAACGTGTTTTTGAATAAGTTTATGGCCGGCCTTGGTAATATTCACATGACACTCCCTCCAACTTGTTCCATTTTATGTTTAACTGAGCATTTACACTAACAGTACACTTGACCTCTAAGTGGGACCACCAGAAA